GAGACGACTGAACGAATGAACAACAACAACAAGCAACCCAGCTTTTGCTCTTTCTTCTTTCACCTTGATTAGAAGGCTCCTCAGCTCCTTCTCACTTTCAGCCATCAAAGTTGTATCATTTGCATATCTAATGTTAATGTTTCTTTGTTAATGTTAATGTTTCAAAATTGCTGAATTTTGACCCAGCCTTGCATTTGTCAAGCCCCGCACATCGCATGATGTGTTCTACATACAAGTTGAATAAGTTGGGTGAGAGTATACAACCCTGCCATACGCCTTTCCCAATCTTGAACCAGTCTGTTGTTCCATGGTCAGTTCTTACTGTTGCTACTTGGTCCTTATACAGATTCCTCAGGAGAGAGACAAGGTGGCTTGGGATCCCCATACCACCAAGAACTTGCCACAATTTATTATGATCAACACAGTCAAAGGCTTTAGAATAGTCAATAAAACAGAAATAGATGTTTTTTTCTGAAACTCCCTGCCTTTCTCCATTATCCAGTGGATATTAGATTCATGTAATATGGTAGTCTTAGTGCTGAGCCAAAGCAAAAGAGGAAGCTGCTTCAGGAGCACCTGGAGCTCCTATTTGAGGGATGGCATTTCCAGTTTCATTGCCCTGCCTTAATGCTATGCAATGCTGGGATTTGTAGTTTGGTGAGGCATCAGCCCCCATGTTCCCAAATTACAGGCCCCATGATTCCATAACATTAAGCCAGAAGTGGATTCATTCTACAGCATAGATGCACTCCAAGATTATCTTTTCCATTGCTAAAAGCTTTGGTGTTCTAACACTTTTGTTTTAAAATGAGAAATTATAAGCACGCAGACACGGTAATGCACACTTTCCCCCCAAATTACAAAGAGTTCAGTTTTTGCCACTTTATATTACATTTGCCAGCAAATCCTTTTTTTGATTTCAGGGTTTTGAAAATTGAGGTACGCATTAGATTTGGTGGTGCATTAGACTCAAGCCAATATGAGTATTTTATTTTGTAGCAGTTACCAGGTCAGGAAATTGTGGAAAAAATAATTCATAACTTGTACATTTCCTCCATCTGTTATAAACATAATTTCTTTATTTCTCCAGATTTTTCTTTGATCCTAAGTAGTCAGAGTAGGAGAACTATGCTTTTTTGGCATTATTTTCTTGTACCATGTCCGGCAGTCTTATTTTTAGGTGATTTATACAAGAGTCTAAAGGAAGTATTCCCAGTCATGTTCCATTATCTTACACACACACACACTTAAGAAAATATAAAATATCTGAAGTCTTTATTTGGTGTCAGCATAGTGCAATACCTTGCCCGTGTATAAATGGATTTTGTTGATATGCAATAGCTTGTTCTTTACCAGTTTAAAAGAAATAGAGTTGCATCTATTATTCATTTCCAGTTTTCAAGAGTACACATTAATGGAAAAATAACAAATTTAAAAGAAAATATGATACATTTTAACTAAAGCAAGGCGGCTGCTCTAACAATGGTATTGCTATGGTGAAGTTCTCTTTTTTTCAGCTCAATCAGAAGGACATTAGTATACGAAAGAAGGTTTGTTAGTTATGAAAAGTGCCAGAGACAACATGGAAGGAGACCTGTTTTGGATCCCAGATTAATTTGTCACTCCTATTGTGACAGTTTCAGTGCACCTGTTTCCTTAATCATGACTCTCAATTGTGAAAACAAAAGATGGGAGATGGCATCTATTCTGAGCCTTTTCTGAAGTTTCCCTTGTTTAAGGGTGCATCTACACTGCAGAATGAATGCAGTTTGGCACTACTTTAGCTGCTATAGCTCAATGCTATGGACTCCTGGGAATTCCAGTTTGGTAAGGCTTCAACACACTTTGGCAGAAAGAGCTGATACCTATAATTCCTATGATTTAATAGCATGGCAGTTAAAGTGATGTCTAACTGCATTAATTCTACAGCGTAGATGCACGCAAAGTGGCAGCCAGATCCCAATCTGCCCCCTGTGATCAATGGGCTTAAAGCACATTTGGTCTTTGACTGTTGCCAACCTAGCATTTCGAAAACATGCAAATGTGAGCAGATCAATAGGTACTGCTCCGGCAGGAAGGTAACGATGCTCCATGCGGTCATGCCGGCCACATGACCTTGGAGGTGTCTATGGACAACGCCAGCTCGTTGGCTTAGGAATGGAGATGAGCACCAACCCCCAGAGTCGGACATGACTGGACAATGTCAGGGGACAACCTTTATCTTTACTCCTGCATGGTAGGGAACTATATGGCCCTTGTAGACTCTTTCAGCTTCAAAATGCAATGATTCTCCTTTGTACGATTCTTGTATGAAAGAAAATTTACTTCTCTTTTCTGAAAAATTGTGTTTTGCTTGCAAGATGATAAAATACTTGGACATACATTTTATGTAAATGTTTTGGTGGCAGAGAGCAGGGTCATTCTGATTCCAATCAGACAGATAGTAATGCCAAGGAATTAATTATATACCCTTGTGCCTTAAGGCAAATAATCTCAGTGAAGAGCTTGATAGGGTTTTTTTTTTTTGTTGCTGTTGAAAGTATTAACTGTTAATAAAATAGAGCTCATTGTTTTGGTTTTTTTACATGATAAGATAAATGTCTCCAATTAATTTAACAATATTCTGTACTTTGCTTAAGCCTTGAATCTTGTTTCATTAACTACTACATGGAAACGTTAGTTATATGTACAAGATCTTTTCTCATAGAGTTTCTGAAAAAATAATTATTTTTAATGACCCAGAAAAGCTGAAGACGCAATTATTTAGGACTGGTGTCTTTTAATATTATCACCAGATGGGAAGCAATTATAGCTGTTGAAAGGAAGATAATCTAGCACAGGAGTCTGAAGGTGAGGCATTTCACAAAATTTGTGGAAGGGTAAATGTAATGATTTCTGATTGCTTTTGTCTCTGTCCCTTCACATCTGTCAGGGTCAAATTCCACAGCCCTTAGAGGTTAGGTTTAATTAATACAAATCTTCCTTTGTGATTGAACTCAACTGAGTGTATAAAAATCACTTTTTGGGTATTTGAGAAAGAAAGGTTTTCTTGTGTGCTTTATGGTCTGAAAAACTTACATGTGTACTAAAGCCCGGACACATGGCTTTTTCACTCTTGAAAATATTCAATTTAAACAGTTCAGTTTTAGGCTTTCATTATAATACCAAGGCATCAAAAGCCTTGTTTTCAATTGTGTAAAATCCCAATCTTTAGTATCCAAAACTGAATTGAAAAGATTATCCTGCTTTGTTGAAGGCTTTCATGGCTGGAATCACTGGGTTGTTGTAGGGTTTTCGGGCTATATAGCCATGTTCTTGAAGCATTCTCTCCTGATGTTTTGCCTGCATCTATGTCAAGCATCCTCAGAGGTCGTTTTTCTCACAGTGACCAACAAATTGTCAATGGATGCATATTCCACTTTACATTTTTCTGTAGTGATATATAAAAACACTCTGTCTCTGATCATAAAGGTGATATTTAGCCATCTTGACTGGGTCCCAGTGATAGTTCCATGAATTTATTTAATTGCACCTCAGAGCCATCCAAGTTTGATATCTCCCTGGTACCAGTGGTTTTCAAACTTTATTGTGGTGAAACTTAAAAAGTGACAAAATCAACAGTGACACACATGCCTTTTTCTTTTTTTTTAACTTCAACATTATGTAATATTCTAGTTGGCTTTAATACAAATATTATGTGATTGAGTGTTTTCAGATTTTTATAATGGAGCAGCTTGATTTTCTTTGTTTTTCTTTCTGTTGTAATATTACCTCCCTTTAAGACATTTTATCTGAAACTATAGTGCCCTCTGCTATACAGTTTCAAAGAGTAAGTTCTATTTTGGGGGCACAATTATTAATCATGTGTGGCCAAGAGACTTAGACAACATGCCACATACCACCTTCTACTTCTATTGATACCTGCAATGCATAGTTATCTATGACAAACATGTAGAGATTTTTTGGCAGAAGAAATAATTTAGAAGGGATTACAGTGTAAAACAGAGCTTTCCAGACATTTCATGTTGGTGATATACATTTTAGACATCCATTTTTTCACAGCACAGTAATTCAGAACAACCGGAAGTTCAACCAACCTCTTATAAAAGACATTGGCTCATATATAAATTATAATAACAAAATGTATAGTTACAACGGGGAAAAAAACATTAATATTTAAAAATAATTATGCTTATTTCACATAGACTTAGAAGTTTCCCATTACATTTGTGCAACACACCTGCATTCAGCAGCTGACACATTGACATGTTGTGTACAATTTGGAAAGGTCTGGGGTGAAGGATAATTTTTTAAAGCTGCTAATCTCTAGAGAATTGGGTCTCTACCTTTGGCCCTCCAGGTATTTGGGACTTCAAGTTCCAGAAGCCCAAGTGAGCATGACCAATGGATTCCTGAAGTCCAGAATATTTGAAAATACAAAGATAGATAGCCACTATTCTCGAAATAACGACATCCTTTCTCAGGACATATTTTTTTGTGTCAAGTTCTTCCTACTTTTGTCTTGGTGTGAGCAAGTTCAACAGGACAAAGCATATGTTTTTCTTTTCACATAGGCGTTCAGACCTGTTCAGGTCACTTTAAGTACAGCTGTTTCAATGGATTGTTTCATTGGAAACTAAAGGGAAGAGTGTCTTGAATGAGTATATTTCTGCTGTTTCTTTATGTGCTTGAAGGTGTTTGATTCTGATATGGTCTCAAATATATGTGCTGTTCCTGTATTCCCCAGGACAATCCTTAAATTTGTTTTGATGCCTTCTAGGTTTTAACCTCTGACTTGGAAAAAAGGGAGACCCAGCAGCAAAGGATGTTGAGCCAGTTGAAAGAGATACAGAGTAACTACAGAGTCTGTGAGAACGAGCGTAGAGCTGCAGAACTTCAGGTCACAGAACTGGCTCACCAATTGGAAGAGATGACTAAAGAAGCAGAGAGGTACCTAGCTGAATTCAGACAATCCGAAGTGCTCAGGCTAGAGAATGAAAAGAAGAAGGAGGAGTTAAAACTGAAAGCTCAGGAATCTATTAGACATTGGAAGCTAAAGTGTAAGAAACTGGAACATGAACTAGAAAAGCAGACTGAACTTCACAGCCAATTGATGGAGAAGAACAATGTGGTATGGGATTTCTTTATTCTTTCCTTTCCTTTCAATCCAGTAATCCTAGAAACACTCCCCTCCACCAGTTTCATGACTGTTTAAAATATACATACATGAAACCTATTTACTAATTACAGGTTTTAAAATTCATCATTGCTGGCAATATTCTGAGGGGTGGGGTCTTTGTCATTGTGGGTTGAGGTACCCTTCCTTTGCTTGTACTATGGGCCACTGGGTAAACCAGTTACTGGTAATTTTTGAAGAAGATGGAGAACAGATTCCTTTTATTAGAGACATCCAATAGTATTATAATACAGTGGTTTAATTCAATCAAATATTTTGGCTATGGTTAAAAACAAGATGCTAGGCTAAACAGACTTTTAATTTGATTCAGCTCTGATTGTCTTATGATTTTGTGGAACTATCTTTGCAATGTGATATAAATTTGTCATGTTTAGTTGTAAGAACTTTATTACAGTTCATGGACCAATAGCTGTTAAATAAATAATTAATAAACATCCAGAAGTTTACAGATCCCTCATATACTATACAGACGCACACTACACAGTGTCAGGTAATACCTTGTTCGGAGACTAGGCTCTTTCTCAGTCTTGCTGCCGCTGCGAGGAACTTTGTCATCATCAGGGTCACCCCATTGTGCTTGTCTTCCAAAAGATGTCTGACCTTCCCCTGCGGGCAACTGTAAGACAATTGGGTCAGGATTGGGTGTAAGAATTAGCCACGTTGGACTGAGTAATAGTGACACTGCAACAAAATGTGTTCTAGTGATTCTATTTCATTTTTACCACACGGGTATAATCTTTGGGAGTAGGGGATGCCAGATACTCTGCCATATAGCAGCTCTGATGGAAATAGATTTAGTCTCCCTTTTGTGAAGAGTCTATGGTAATTAGACACTGTGAGATTGTTAAGATACTTACATGAATTGAATGGCTCAGTGTATGGTAAATTCAGGGATCTAGGGGAATATGATGAATTTGAGCGGGCTTTGAGATTTCCCAGGGCAATATCTCTCATCCATCGCTTCAATGATTCCTGTGCCATTTTGAAACCTAGATGCAGAAAAAGGGATGCTGATAGGCCAATTGAGGTTTAGTTGTAGTTAGCATGGTACCTATACTTTTTGTGTATGTTTATCTGGTTAGATTTCGGATTTCGGATCTGCTAAATGTGAGCTTATGAGAGCCAGTGCATTGTAGTGGTCTGACCATTGGACTAAGACTTTGGGAGACCAGGATTCAGATTCCTCACTTAACCATGGAAACCCATGGGTAACCTTGGGCAGGTCATGCTCTTTCAGTATAAGCAGAAAGCAAACTCTCTCTGAACAAATCTTGCCATGAAAACCATGCAATAGGGTTGCCTTAGGGTTGACATAGATTGGAAATAATTTGAAGGCAAATTATAACAACAAGATGTATGCTGAGACACTATTTTCAGCTTTGATAAGTTGACTCTGGAATCTGCTTGGATTTTAGGTATAAAATAATTAAGATCAGAAATTTGATTAGTAAAGACCATCCAAATCAATTTCTTGAAGGGAAGTTTCCTTCTTCATGTGATAGAAAAGCAGGCTGTTCCTCATGTGTCATATAGCAGATAGGTACAACAGTCTAATACCTTGAAGATGATTTCCAAACAGCAAACAATTTTCTAGATACAATACAGAGCTGCCCCAAAGAAGCATAGATTCATAAAGTAGAAATGGGCCTAATCAGCCACCATATCCAATTATCTGCTCATTGCAAAGCATCCTCAGCAAATAACTGCCCAGCATCTTTTGAAGATTTCCAAAGAAGGAGACTCCATCACCTCCTTAGACAATTGGTTCTCTTGTCAAACCACTCTTACTGTCAAGAAGTTCAAATTTTCAGTCAAAATCTACTCTCCTTTACTTCAGTTCATTAGATTTGGTTCTTATCTCTGGGGAAGCAGAGAATAGCCCTGCCCTTGTTTCTTTGTGAAAACCATTGAGATATTTAAAGAATGCACTCATGTTACTCAGTCTTCTCTTCAACAGGCTGAACAAGCCCAGCTCCTCCATCCTTTCCTCATACATTTAGTTCTCCATATCATCCTTGTAATCCTTCTCATAACCTCCTTCATCTTGTCTATGTTTTTCTTAAAATGAGGCACCCAAAACTGAATGCAGTATTCCAGGTGAGGCAAAGTAACTCTGAACTAGTAAGGGTTTGCTTACTAGTCTTACAAGTAAGCTAGTTTTCAATTGCATCTTCCCTTGAAATGACTGTACAGGTTCCCTGATGATAAAATATCATCCCGTGGTCACTAAAATTTCTCAAGATACCAAATGGATCAACAGCTTCAAATTATCAAATTATTTCCCGCATCGTTATCCTACACATACATTGTCTAGAATTAAAGCAGACTCACTCTTCTTTGATGATAAATAAATGGAATAGGTTTACAAACAAGTGATAAATGTTTTTGTAATACCTCAGAGGGAGGCTGTGCAATATGTTCTCTTCTGACATTGAGGAGATAGAGAGAGAACTAGAGAATGAAGAAACTGAAACTCAGAGAAGATTTGATAAAGTCCAACAAACAGGAAATAGCATGAATATGTGCTATGTCTAAACTCATGGAAAGAAACTCACATCTACTGAATATAGGCATGTTAAGATTGCTGTCTCTAACACAAATAGATCATCCAATACAGTGTTTAGGTTTTCTTGAAGTGTCCCACTCCCCTGCTGTTTCTGCCTTGTTGCACTCTTTGTTCACTGGCAGTACACCATTAACAACCTAAAATTCTAATGTTTTATAGTTTTCAATTTGTGATTTAGAAAATTTTATGGTTTTTTTAAAGTAATCAAGCAGAAAATTAGCATTTGAAAATAGTAATTAGCATTTCATTTAAATGTTCATGAGTGATGTCCAGTAACAGAGATTTGAATAGATAGCACAGTTTTGATGCAGTAATAAGTATGGGTGGAAAATTAATACTATGAAAATAGTAGATTATTTCTTCCACCCTAGAGGTAAAAACATATAAGGAAGCTAGGTATGCCAGATGGCCACCAGAAAGCTAAATGTTTTAAACCAGTAATTAAATATTTCATTGCAATTTGAGAATAGCCAACCAACATATGAAGAATGAATTTGACAGTGAAAGGTCATGTATATGCACCAGAGGCTCATATGTGATTTATTCCAGATTTGAAAAGTAGGTGGACTCCATTGCCTTATGCCTTATAATTAATTAATCATTCACTTGATGTATAATCTGTCAAAATCAAGTTCTATTTAGCAGGGTTTAAAAATTGCCTGACTAAATGAGGTAAAAGTACAAACAGAACCTATAATCTGAAATAACTCTGGTATGTTCAATCAACTGAGGGGCAACATTAAGTCTAAAATATAAAGAGTGAGGCTAGCTGTGGGTGTTGAGGCAGTAAGTTGGACTGCTAGAATGTAAATGATTATCAAGGAAGCCTTCAACATGACAGGAAAGAAGGTCAGGGTGACAGAAGGGACACTGTGAATTGTGGACCTGACAATGCTGCCTCTTAGATGGGTTTGTAATTGGGTGACTGATCAAACCTAAAGAGTGCTCACCAATGGCTCCTCCTCATCCTAGAGAGAAGTGACTAGTGGGATGCCAGAGGGCTATGTCATAGCCCAGTGCTTTTCAACATCTTTATCAATGACTTGGCATGAAGGGCATGCTTATCAAGTTTGTATAGGGAACCAAATGAGGAGGGGTAGCTAATACCATAAATGATAGGATTGGAATTAAAATTGGATAGCTAGGCCAAAGCTAACAAAATGTATTCCAGCAAGGATAAATGTAAGGCACTACACTTAGGTAGAAAAAAAAGAGATGCATAGTCTCTATGTGGCATTTAGTTTCTCCTTTAATTGGTCCACAAGTTCACCAATTAAAATAGAAGTACTTGATTTCATATATTTTGGGAGCTTTGATTGAATAAAAGGATATAGATAGCTGAATAGTAGGAGACATATAGGTTTTGTTTGTTTTAGGGCCTAAATATTTTCTCCAAAGATGCCTTTCCATTATTTCTAGAGTGGTTCTCAGGTAGTATCCCACAAATAAGAATGTATGTTATTTGGGTTCCTCAATACCACAAGGTACTATATTTCCTTTTTTCCTGCTATTCAGCTGTTTCACAGCCACATCTCAGTGATGAGATTTTTAGACAGTGGCAAAATTAATATAAATGTCAACTGCCATTCTTTTTGGTGTAGTGTCATACTTTCTCAATAGGATTGTTTTGAACCATTTCCTATTTCCCCATAATACAGGGTGAGCAACCCATGGGCCCCTAGACTTTGTTGGACACTGGCTCCCATCATCTCTCAGCAGTGGCAATTCTGGTTAGGTCAGGAATATCTGGAAGGCAACAAGTTGACCACATCTACTATTCGATTCCTAGCGAGCTTTTGATTCTCTCTCTAACTTTCTACCTCTGTTTGAATTGTAGGCTCTTAAAGAAAAGGATGACTTGAAGAGTCAGCTTCTTTCTACCATGCACCAGATGGAAAATCTTCAGAAGGAGCTGACTGATGTTCTTGAGAAAAGAGCCAAACAAGAAGAGGAGCTGCATTGTAGAGAAGTAAAGCTCAGTGAATCTAGATCCCTACAGATAGCTCTTGAGCAAGAGATCAGGGCGGTCAGGGAAAATGCAGATAAACTGGACAGTGAGCTTCAAAAGCAGAGCCTAACACAGAGCCAGATACGAACAGATAAACAACGCTTAGAAGAGGAACTTTTATCTATTAACATGATCCATGAAAAGGACCAAGCAAGATTGCTAGAAATGCAAGCAGCTATAAAAAATCTGAGTGCAATTCGAGCTGAACTGACCAACCGAATAGTAGAAGAGGAGAAATCAAAGAAGGAGATGCAGAAGACCCTGACAGAACTTCAGAATCAACGGGAATCTTATCAGGAGGAGATGGTTTCTGCCAGTAAGCAGCTGAAGTTGGAGAGAGATGTCCACCAACAAGAACTGGCAGAACTTCACACAGAGTTGCAGCAGGTGAAAACAAAACATGACCAACGTGTCCAAGAGATGATGAAGCTGTTCGGTCAAGAAAAGGAAGAAGCTGCTAGTCACATTGGAATGTTAAAGGTATTTGTGTAGGATGGTTTACATTTCCTACCTCTGACTAGCGTTCTGTGTTTTTTGTGGCAAAGAAGTGGCTGAGCAGGTTGCCAATAAAAAGGTTTAATTTCTCAAATGTAGACTTCAGATTTAAAATGATAGAAGCCACTCAAGTACGTTTAAGATAGGTGTGATATGGAGGCTAAAGTCATATGTCTTTACTTGCCCCTGACCTTTCTGAGTCTGCTTCTCTTGGTGCATATTGTCATCTTTCTCATTTTGGTGATGATGTGTACTCGGGAGAAGTTCATGAGCAATTGTTTGCTTAATATATTTATTCTGATTTTACTTGTGAAAAGAAGGTATCAAAAATTATCCAGAGCATTAAAATGCTATCTGTGTTTGTTTAGTTCTTACCCATCCATTTCCCCTTCTTGTGAAATTACGCATATATTGCTTACACTGTTTTTGAAAATTGAATAACAGCTGTAAGAGCTAGAATCTAGGATTTAAAACAAACTAAAAATTGAAATAGATTCTCAGGAAGTTGAGATGGGTGTGATTCCTTGATTTAATCTCTAGAGCAAACAGTGAGAAGATGCTGGCACTATACTCTATTGTCATACAAAATACCTTCACAAAAGGGGCATTATTTAGGCATAGGGAGGAAAACTTTGGTGTATGCCATAGATTGTACATGTCATTAAGTAAGTAAGTAAGTACATGTCAGTATGCAAACATGGAATGTGAGGAGCCACTTGGTAACTGCTGTAGTTTTTAGTTGTGTAATGTGTGCCTTTCTACAAGATTTTTCCAAAGGTGTAAACCATGAGTGGGCAACTGGTGTGAGAGTGATGTATAGGGAGCTGCATTCAACCCCCAGGAGATTGAATCTCACACCAACCCCCACCTCCAAATACTAGGCCTGGGTAACAACGGAAAAAATTGTTTCTAAAATCGATTCGTTTTTTGGGGGTTTTTGCGTTTCGTTATTTAAAATAATTACAAAATTTTCCTTTTAAAAAGTTCGATATTTACAAAATTTCGTAAATGTGAAAAAAATTACAAAACATTAACGAATCGATTTCCGAAACAATAACGAATCGATTCGTTAATGGCGGACGCGACCGCGAAATACGCTAAAAAACCTCCAAATGGGACAGGGGGACTTCTGAAGCTTCCCTCTCCCTCTGTTGTTGACTGTTGGTGTGATATTATAATTTTTTTTCACTAATTAAACAAAAAACAACTATAAAACTTGCCCCAGACATGCGAAATAATAACGAAACGACCTCAAAACGATAACGAAACGAATACATAACGAATTACGAAGCATTTACAAAACGTATTTAAAAATTCGTTTTTTTAAAATAATTGCTCCAGAATGGTTTGTTATCGCTTCGTAATCAAGAAAATTAACGAATTATTAACGAATTACAAATTAACGAAACGAAACCGCCCAGCCCTACCAAATACCCCCAGTGCCTTGTAGAGAGGAGGAGCTTTTTTGCTATGTTTGTATCTCTCTCTGGGCTGTTTGAGAAAGAGGGGAGCCTTTTGTCCTAGCTGGAATTTACCTAGATGTTGACTTTCTGTTGTAGAAAAGGCTTGTCATGGTCCAAAATGACCTTGGAGGGAGGCTAAACACAACAAAAAATTGCTTCCATGTCCCTTAGAGGGTCTGTGGGGGCACTTGGATATGGACTTTGAAAGCCACAAAACCTTTATGGCGGGACCATGGTTTTCTCATCTTGATGTACAGGTTTGATTTAGGTTGTATCATATTGCAGAATTAGTGCAGTTTGGCAGGATCTACACTGCTCTGTATTCCAGGCCAGGATCTGATCCCAAATTATCTGCCTATTCCAGATTATCTGGCAGTATAGAATCATAAATCCAGTTCAAAGCAGATAATCCAGTTCAAAGCAGGTCAGGTTCTGGGATGTAGGACAGTGTAGATCTAGTATTTAGCTTCCATGGCTCAATGCTATGTAGTCACAGGAGTTGTGATTTTACAAGGTCTTTAGTCTTTTCTGCTAAATTGTGCTTGTGCCTCACCAAACTGCAACTTCCATGATTCCACTGAGCTGTTAAAGTAGTGTCAAACTGCATTAATTCTTCACTGTGGATTTTTATTCCACATTATTATCTCTTGAGTCCCCTTCTTGAAGCACGGGGACATGCTCAATAAAAGAAAATATAGTAACCAATCAGCAAGATTGGAGCTGGCACTATAATTGCACTGCTCTCCCCTCCCCTCAGAAAGCCTTAGTACTCCTGTCCCTTCCTTATATAATGAACTGGAGGGAAAAGATTGTGTTTTAGACTAGGATGGCAGCCTCTGCAGATAACTAGTGATTGGTTTAAAAAAAATGGGACAGATGCATGCCTCAAAACATAGTCACAGCAGCAGTCGCTCCACCACGAAGGAGATAAGACTTTTATTCCCACTTTGTAGCCATTTACTGAGTCTTTTCCAAATTGAGGTCATCTACCCTGTCTATTAGAGGCTGGATGGCCATCTGTCAGGTGTGCTTTGAATTTGATTTTCCTTCTTCTTGGCAGGGGGTTGGACTGGATGGCCCATGAGGTCTCTTCCAACTCTATGATTCTATTCTATTTCTTTGTGTAAATTATACTTAGTTTACCTCCTATCCTTTTCCCTGACAGCCAGCTTAGTTCAGATGGTAGGATCAAGGTTCTGATTCATTTTATCTACATGGTTTCCCTACATTTCTTCCTGGTAGAATGTATAATCTTTTAAATTTGTATAAGAACAAACTGTCAGGGAAAAGACCCATAGCACTGATTGTAGGGCAGCGGGCTTTGGTCATGTCACAGCCCATACTTGAAGGCACAGACACACTGTAATTTTATTTCTTGTTTTGCTTATATCTATACAGGAAGAACTTACAGAGGAAAGAAATTTGGTAAAAGCACATCGCCGACAGGTAGAAAAAATGAAAATGGAATGTGATAAGCTGACAGAAGAACTAACTCATAAAGAAGAAGAAAATATAAAATGTAGGAGAAAATATCAGCTGATGAAACAGGAACTGGATGGAAGGGTAAATGAAACTCTCTAATCTTAAACGATACCGGTAATATAAAAGAAGCCTTTTTAGATAGGGACTCACCTTTAACACCAACCTGCTACATCAAAATCACATTTTATTTTATACTATACACATCTTCTTAAGTTTATTCCATATTTTTTGCTTTCCTCTGTTTCTCCTTTCTCTTCAAAAACATACAAAATGAAAGATGAAAGAAAGAAAATAGGGTGAAATACCATTTGAAGTCCTGACTTTGAGAATTGATAGTCTACTAATCTCAGAGTTTACTCAGATCAAAAGTATGTCTCTTGACTAGGCGGAGTAGATGAGAGTTGTGTTTTTGTGAAAGCTCAGTTAGAGTAGGTTAGTTGTGTAGTGACAGCTGAAGCTACCACATTTCATTGTGAGTGATGGTAATAGACAAGTAAACTTTTACCAATGTTTGGCAGCCCATCAGCTTTAAAAAATGATCTGGTCATGCAATCCCTCTACAGAACTAGTGAGGACAAGATAGACCCTCAGTGTAATTTAGTTCATGTGCTCTGTGTTGGCATAGCTGATGATTACTATCAAATTGTCCTCTATGTAGAGAATGTGGCTGTTGGCACAAGAGCAGTTTGCCAGTGAATATCTGTGGTGCACAGAGCTCAGAACAGGCACGGAGGAGGTTGAGGTTATGTATGGTTTAAACTAGAGGAAATACACTGTAATATTCAACTTTGCATGTCATTTCAAAAGAGAGGGGGACACGAGACCAACATTTTCTTGTGAGAAACTATTTCTTTTGCTAGGTTGTCCTAGATGCAGAGGCGAAACTTGCTTCTGTACAGTAAGGATTCCTTTGTATAAGCTTTTGCTCTAAACCTTTGCCTAAGACTACATGTTGGGTTTTGCCCTGGGAGAAGGAGAGGAACATACAACTCTGACCCAGGCTTTGTTGGCATATGGGTTAATACCTTGATGTGTCTTTAATTTACTTCAGTTTGGCTTCCACACCGGTTTTATACTTTTTGCTACTGCTTCAGAGATCTCTTAATTGCTATTCTGTAGGAAGTGCCAGGGGTAAGTGGCAGTGGGATTTTAACATGTTCCAAGTACATTACCAGGACGTGACAAATTAATAATTTAACGTTCCAATGAAAATTTTGAACAAAACATTCTATACTCTTTTAATAAACCCTAGGTTCATTCTTCAGTATGAAGGATTAAAAAATATCATCCTTGGGAAATTACTGATAGTTGTCTGTGTTCTCCAACCAATTACAGAACTAAAATGTTGTTTAAAATGCTGGCTTGGAAATAAAAGTCATGGTGGTGCATTTGAGCCATTTCCAAAGACTGTCATGGCAAAAGCTGACAAGCATTTTGATTACTCTTTTTGCTGTGTGGACATAATTAAAGTAACAACACGAGAACACAAATTCCATTTTTACCAAATCATAGTAATTTCCTGGGTTAAAATGAGCCATGATTAGATCAATTCTGTTGTGTTCTTTGGATCTGACAAGAGTAGCTGCTCAGGGTTAGCTCTTTTATAATGTCAAACTTAAATCCATCAAATAACAAAATGTCAAATCAGTATTCATTTTTTATTTCAGCTCAACAGTTTGGTTTCATTTTGCTTAAAGCCTGATTGCAGTTTATATATCAAATATCAAAGAACGCAAAAGGGAAAAATGAGCCTTCTACCATGTCCAAGATATGCATATGAAAACCTTTGCGGTTTCTATCTACACACATAACATACCTGAACTGTTGTAAAATAAACATGTCACTGTGCACAAGAAACTGACAAATATGATGATATGGTAGACACAAAGTCATTATTTTTTCCATTGGGATGCTTCCGTTCTAAATATGGGCAGATATCAGAGTTACATGAATGTTTAACATGCAGAGATTGTCAACTATCTTTCCATACTTCTGTGCATATGGTGAACGTCAGCAGTGGCTATTATATAATCCACAAACATAGATTATTTTTCTTAAATGTATATCAGGTATGGGGGCCCCAGGTGGCACAGTGGGTTAAACCACTAAAGCTGCTGAACGTGCTGACTGAAAAGTTGGCAGTTCAAATCCGGGGAGCGGGGTGAGCTCCCGCTGTTAGCCCCAGGTTTTTGTCAACCTAGCAGTTCGAAAATATGCAAATATAAGTCGATAAATAGGTACCACTTTTGTGGGAAGGTAATGGTGCTCCATGCATTCATGGCGACCACATGATCTTGGAATTGTCTACAGACAACGCTGACTCTTCCACTTAGAAATGGAGATGAGCACCACCCCCTCAGAGGTAGACATGACTAGACTTAATGTCAGGGGAAACTTTTACCTTTAGCAGGTTTGTATATTCTACTCACACACACACACACACACCTTGATGCCTCAAATGTTAGACCTGTTTCTGGGTATATTTGACCTGCCGATTTCAAACATGGCACCAGTTTTCCTCTATTGACTCTAGTGATTGATATATAGCTATACCAATCACTATATGCCCATTCATAAAGAATTATGATAACTGAATCTAAGAAACCAGAACTGTTGCAGTCTATCTAATACACTTTTCTGAATTAGTGCCCCAAATAACCCCAAGAACTGGCCCAAAAACCAAGACACCAAGAATTATTGTGATTCTGTGATCTGTTCTATGTGATTCCGTGATCTGTTCTATGTGGTTATGTAATTTTAATTAATATCACTGCTTAATTGTTATGTAATGGATTTTATATTGCTGTTTTATATTGTTGTTTTGATACTGTTGACATTGAATAGTTGCCTGTGTTAGCCGCCCTGAGTCCCCCCTCGGGGGTGAGAAGGGCGGGGTAGAAATGGTCTAAATAAATAAATAAATAAATAAATTTTATTGGGCTGTGTTACAGAAACTGTAGTGCTATATCTCTATTCCTCATAGCAAGGCACATAAATGGTACACTTGTTCTCCTTCTCCTCGAGTCGCTCCAGTATATAGGTTGAAGTCTGGTGCTGGTATTGTTTCAAATCTAGCATCATGTTTTCATTGCTTTTGGTTTGGGAAAACCTTGCTTTTATTTAAATTACTGAATATATATGTAGAATAAGAACAATTTCATATTAAAGGTGTAGGTTTTTCTCTTCTGAAATGGCAATATTTTTAAACATTGGTGCTGTAGACTGGTTTGACCCCTATCCATCAGTCCCTACAGAATGTCAAAATTAAAACATTCTTAGAAGATTTAGATTTCAAATTATTACTTGGATGATAATAATTGCACAAGCAAGTTCTGCTGTGTCCATAGCGATTGGTTTCACATAACCATAACCCTGGGACAAATTCAAAAAGCGCAAAAATAGCAGGGAAATGTTTATAAAGCAACAATGATAGCAGCTCTCAACATCTCTAAGAACTCGGTTGCTATCGACCACAGTTTTGTGCAGGGAAGACACCAATTGATACATTGCCATATATCAGTGTGATCATAGAATCCAGTTTCAATTTTCTTCTGTGGATAAGGCAGAAATGCATTTCCAAGAAGTCCAAATGTCTTCTCTATCTCCTCTATGCATCTGATGAAGTGGGCTGCAGTTTGTGAATTCTAACATTAAATTCTAACATTTCTTTGGGAGTCTTTGCTGCTTTTGCAATAATAGATTGATCCTCAAAGGTTTTGCAGTGTAAGACACCAGATTTAGCTACACAAAGTGGGATTAATCAACCTTATAAATAAACCCATCCAGGTTCCAACAGGTAACATATTTCAACATCATAGCAGACAAGAAAGTATAATTTCTAAGGGTCATAAGGTGAAAAATCTATTATTATCCACCAACCTTGATGAAAGATTATGTCTCTCCTTCCAGAAAGCTACTGAGACATATCCTCAGCATGTTTTGCAGCAAATAGAAGATAAAGGTGGAAACTTATTTGGAATCTCACATGAAGAATCAATCTACTACATAGTTCAAGCTGACAAATAAGTTACCTATCAAACAGAAGGAAAGAATATAAACTATTACACTGTCAGCCCATTGTATGCTAATCAAGGTGGTCAGTTGAAAAGATTCACACCTAGCCCAACTTACAAAAGCCTTTTGTCTCACCCTGGTCATTCCACAGATATATAAACCCCTTTTTCCCAGCTCCAGCAGACCTCTGAGGAAGCTTGCCATAGATGCAGGCGAAACGTCAGGAGAAATGCCTCTAGAACATGGCCATATAGCCCGAAAAAACCCACAAGAACTGAGTGATTCCGGCCATGAAAGCCTTCGACAATACATTATTACACAGGTCTTTTAATAGCAACAAAAGCAGCCTTAGCTGACCCAACAAAATTGTCAACTTATCCAGCCATGAACTAAGTCAGGCATAAGAATAACTTCTTTCATAGGATTCATTTCTTTTCCTACCAGATCTGCATATTATACAGTTCTTTGGGTGTTCTACATAATTTTTTTACCTGCCTTCTGGCTAAAGACTACTCAAAGCACCAACATATAACCATCACCTTTCCAGTATATACCTAAATAATACCTTGTTACTGCTATCGGGGGAAATACCTCATAGGTTCTCCAGGATCATAATAACACTACATAGACCTGTAGAGTTGATGACCAAAAAATATTGTCAACCAATTTAAATAACATTGAAATAAGATTAATAGAACTCATTGATGTTAACTTGTTTGCTGGCTTTTGTCATGGACCCTCCAAATTCAAGGAAGCAATAGTGAGACAGGGTTGTGGGCATCATGTCCTGCTTGTGACTTGGGAAGGCAAACAGAATACTGGATTCAATGGATCTTTAATCTGAGTCAAGATAGTTCTCCATTTCTTCTCATTTTTTATCTTGATAGTGAACACACATGCCTCATACTCTGCTTTTTTAATCAGAGGATTCTTTGCTTGTGTTTTTGCATATTGTTGACTTTGCAGGCGTGAGGGTAAAATGGTGTTACCTCATGCTGTGTGGTGGAAGTTACTTATTGCTGTTTGTGGGCTGGTTACATATATGTTTCTTTTTTAAAATTTTATTCATTATATGCTGCATCCCACTTTGTCCTCTCAGCAACCTCATTAGCCAAGGCTACATCAGCATGACTAACCTAAGGTTACCCAGTGAGATTAGAGCCCTTCCAGACAGGATCCAAAATGCTGGCCCTGTGACACTTTTACCAGAGGTGTCTGGTTGATACTGACACAATAAATAAATAAATAAATAAATAAATAACCAGAGGTGTCCAAATCATGCCTTCCAGTAAAAGCGAAGTAATACACACACACACACACACATATATACATACATACACATTATAACAACTGCCCACAAAGTTTTAAATAATAAAATAAAATATATAAATCTATTAAACCTACAAAACTAATCAGTTTTAAAACAATTATAAACAATTTAAATAACCATTGTTATATCATGTATCCACTGCCAAAAAGCCAGAATAAGGCGCCTTGTTCTAGCCATGGTTGTAAGACAATCCAAGATAAAGTAGCTAAGCTGTGCTTTGTCCCAAATGACTTTGATACTCCATTAGACCTGGGCCTTCCTGAAAGGCCCAGGTCTAAAGGGGTATCAAGGGTCTAAAGAAGTATAGGGCCAGTGGGGACTGACGTACAGGACTGCTTCCACAGTCATGGGGTCAGTCCTCACAAGCTACCTGGGTACTTTGGCTTCCAAAAACCCGGAGAACCAAGGAAGGCACCCCCTAACCCACAAAGCCTTAAAAGAAAATTTTAAAAAAACTTAACACTCCTCTATTAGGTCTCACTGGAGGCCTCCTGGAGCGTACCAATAACACCCTGGGAAGTGGTGGGGGGCCAAATTGCTGGGGGGGGGGCAGTTACCACACTGGAATGGAGACAGCCCCCTGGGAAAGCCTGGGTCTTTCAGAAGGGCTTGGAGACTTAAACCAACTTTGGAGCAGGTTTCTTTAACCCACTCCAAAGTGGGTTTAAGCCCCATCTGGAAGCGCTCTGAGAGAATGCGACTCCCTCAAAGTCACCTAGTGAACTTTCATAGTTGAGTGAGAATTAAAGCCAGAATCCTATTCCAACACTCAAACCATTACAGGAAGTCTCAAAGTTACAAACACATGACTGACATATGAGTCCTAGTTACAAACATGGGGGAAGGGTTTGGGGGGTTGTAGGTGAACCTGGGAGTGGGTACGCCATCCAGTAGCATGTGCTGGGCCTTTTGCAATATTTGAAAATGTTTAAGCATTTGTGTGCACAGGTAAAAATAAATAATATGCCATGTCAAACATCTCTCCAAGTTGCATTTAAAGTCAAACTCATGCATTTTTTTAAAAAATGTTTTGTTTTGTATGGTGTTGGGTTAGAGCCACTGTGAGATTTTTACTGCTGTCTGTATCTTCATTAGAAATATTTAATCTCTTCCTGCCCCTGAGACAACAGGAAGTGAGGGAAAATCTACCCCTAAGAAGGGAAAATCACTCCTGTAAGAGTTATCATGGGAAAAAGCTGTCTCTACTCAAGCATTATCAGCAATCCTTGTTTCTATGACAAGCCAACATTTTCAAAATCCAATTGTCATAGGGACAGGAATTGAGGCAAAATCTTCTGAACAGGAGCACAGACAGAAAAACAAACATTACAGAGGTGTTAATCCTGCCCTATGTGATCCAAAACATAAGCAAAAATAAATGGCTAGAGTTACACTTAAAATGTACCTGTTATGACTCGCATGCAAATTCAGCTGAAAACAGCCTACAGAATTTATCTTGTCCGTAACTCAGGAACTGCCTGTATACCATACTAGCTCTGTTACACCTCATGAGCTTCCTTAATATTAGTAAAATGTGTGTGAAAACATCAAATGTTCAGTAGCCATTTTATATTAGGTGCTAAAAACATAATTTGCATCATGATGGTAGACTATCTTATGACAATGAATGTAATGAATCTGCACTATTAAATTATAAAACATTCCATTTGTCTTAATGTTGTGTTTTATTACTTCTACATAATATTTTACACCTTATTCCAACAGTGATTTCGAAAAAGGTGTTTTGCCATATTAAAAAAACCTCAAAGATACTGGAATTCTCTCAAAATAGATTAAAAGAAAAATGAGCAAGGCTTATAAATATGACAGATTAAGCCAACCTTGCAAGAAAGCAGTTGCTTAGCTACCTATGTCACATAGATATAAGATTTGGGTATAATCTACACATGGTTTCACTGTAGATACAAAGACACCAGTCTCTTTTTCACTTTCGTCATTATGGAATTAAGGGCAGTCTGTGCTGTTGCAGTCTCTTTGCCTTATCCAAGATTACATGTGACGCTTCTTTTGCCATTAGGAGGAAAAAGTTCATCTCCTCCCCAACCAGGTAAATGAGAAGGTTCAGAGGATTAGGGCCCATTTAATTCATGGCAGGATATCTCTAGAATTATATAATAATTAATGTTTCCCATTTTGTCAGAAAAAAAAGCTAAGATTTACCAAAACGCGCCAGGTTCTCAAAGATAGATGGCAGCTACCTTGCACCACAACTAATACGGTTGGTGTTGGAGCCCTCGGTTCTTTATTTTCAGGTTCTTGCAAACATGCCTAGAGTTCTATAATTTATTTCAAAGCGAAGTAGGGTGTCAGCAATAACTTACACTCATGTCCCTTCAGAAAGGCATACAGCTTCTGGGGAGGGCTCTTCTTTTTCAGCCTCTATATAATGTTGTAATAGTAGCTCCCAGTTAAGCTGCCATTTGACTACTAAAGAAAGTTGAGCAAAGTGGAAAATGTAAGTGAGAAACAAATGAATCGGAAAAGAGCTAACTCACTTAGGTACCCTGAGGCACACATAGGCCATCCCAGGAAGCACAAATTGGGTGGTTTTATTGTTGCTCTTTAGTTTGTCTCTATGTCTTTCAAAACTGACAAGGAGAGCCAGAGTTGCTGATGCTCTCTGTAAATTATTCAATGTAGAACATGAGCAGAACCCAGAACTATCCAACTTCAAAATCTATCTAAAAGCAAGATGATTTAATTGTACACTTCAGTACTGAATATACAGTATTCACCCAAGACTATAAGTGTCCCAGTCGTGACAGCTCAGTTTAAAGCCTCAGTAAAAGAAAATAAGGGAGAATGATTAAGAGAGTAATGCCATTCCCGAGTTATGCCCAATGAGTAGAACAAAAATTTTGCAATATTTATACAATAGAATAAAATAATTAAGATGGTTTAGGGTGTGGTAAAAAAAGAGTAGGAGCTTAGTAAAAAAATTATATGCTGCTTTCTGGTTTAAATCACACTTCCTGTGCCAGGGCAACAATATGCCTAGGAAAAAGGAGTAGATAGATAAGGTAAAACCTTCCCACTGAAATCCAGGGGCTTCCTGAAATCAATGTCAGTTTTCTTTCCGTTTGTCTTGATAGCAATATAAAGTAGAGAACTAGTGTGGTGTTATGGTTAGATTGTGATTTGAAGAGTCAAGTTGAAGTCCCAAGGAGAGATGAAACTCATTGTGTGACTTTGGGCTAGTCAACCTTTTCTCAACCTGACCTGGCTAACAGAGTTGTTGTGAATCTGGAAATTCTAGGACTAACAGCAGAGCTGTTGAATGCAATTCATTTTCATTTCTCTTCTTGAACTTTTAGTAGAGCACCTTGTATTCTGTAGCTGGTGAAACCTATAATCATCATTGTTGACTTGCTTGAGTCGTAACATTTCAGTAGTAGCAGTTGAAACACTAAGATTTTTAGTTGGTCAGGCTTGCAAGTGAAAAAAGGTGAAGTTTGGGTTTTGGTCTTTGAATCATTCTTTCCGAAAACAAATTTCAGTGAAAGTGACACCACTTTTTTGTTGTTTTTGTAGCGTGGGCAGAGCAATTCTGTCAAATGTGACACACAGATATACTACTGTTCTACTTGTTGACTCCAGGCTTGCTAATGCAGCAGCTGAAAAAGTATTCCACTCCTTGTGTGCATTTCTCTCAGTGTGGCTATTGAGTTTTTACCCATCTCATGTGATTCTGACATAAAGACACATCTTAACAATCACAGTAATTTTTTGTAGCATACATTGAATTTCTACTTACATTATGTGACCCATATTGATCCCACACCCATTCTTCCACAAGAAGAAATATACTTGAGAGTTATGATTTCTTTCCGTTTGAGAAAGACTGAATTTTAGAGATAATTTTGCTACATGTTTAATGTGGTTTAAAAAACTGTTTTTCTTGCTTCAGAATAAAAGAATAAATAGTGAAGATGATCACCTAAGGAGGGTAGAAGAAGACAAATTACAGCTTCATGATCAACTACGAAGTCTTCAAACTGAAAAGGAATCCATCTTTTCTATGATAGGAAGTGAAATTGATGCTGCTTGTGAAGTCCTTTCTCGCGATTCGGTGGAGAAATACACAGTAATTATGAATTCTCAGATTTGTAGAACTAACAAAGTGAACATAGAATGTTTCTTATTCATTAGATTTCTGCATTGCCCAATATTAGTCATGGGTTCGAAATTTGTCCCATTTATTTCCGTTTCGTTCTGTCTATTCGGATGGTACGAAATGGAAAGGCCCATCCTGAAACAAAAATGCAATCAATATGAAAGGTAGGTGGGCTTTTTGGTTGGATTGCATGGGGCCAGGCAGGGCCTGCAGCCAAGCACCAAGTATGGAGGCCCACAGCCTGCACCCATAGGCCTGGACAGATAAAGTCCTCCCCCCCCCCCAAATAATGTACATGAAAACAAAACGAAAAACAAATATCTGATCTCTTGATATTGGGAGGTTCAGATGAAAACAGATTGGGGCCCTACCAAAAGCCGAACACAAAACAGATCAAGGTAAGTCCGGAATGCACAAGTCTCGCCAATATATGCAGTTTTCTGGACAGTTGATAAAATACAGGCAATTTTTTGGGAATAATAGAAGTTGAAAATAGCCACAATATAAAGCTAAAGTTAAGCAAACATCAGAGGGCAGCAGCAGTCCACGAATCTAAAATGTGATATATATTTAGGTAAACTGTTAGATAGATAGATAGATAGATAGATAGATAGATAGATAGATAGATAGATAGATAGATAGATAATGTGGTAGTTGGGAGACTAAAGACCTGGGAGAATAGCAAGTCTTAATCTGGGATGGAAGGACTACCATATAGCTGCCCAGTGTAGTTATCTGAAGAGGAAATTCCTATGGCAACATGCCGGAGAAGGCGTTCTTTCTATCTGCTCACCTCATTTCAAAAGGGTGCCTGGAGAAGGGCTTCAACAAAGAGTGTTTTCATTTATGTGATTTACTTTACACATGGCTCCTTGTTGACCTTTGCTTAGAAAACAAGATACTAGATAATACACTTGACTCTCCTATCTTCTGAAAAATGGCACTATCCATTGTATATCCTCATATCAACAATATCTTATTATCAACTTTGATGGATGGTAATGTCTGCTGGCTTACATCTAGAAATCAAAGGTACCCATATTAGTCTTGAACATCAATATACAAAGGGATTTTGTAGCATTTTGGAGATTGAGAGAATGAAGTAGATAGCTTAAACATTAATTGACTACTTCATTAGCTGTATGGACTGCTTAGAATAGATCATCCACTCATCTTGGTTGTAGGCAACGTCTTTTCTCCTGCTTTGTCTCTGAAGGATCATAGTTAAAACTGATCTTGTCATCCCATTATCATGTCCACAAGTTCTGCATTTCTATGACTGTCCACACACATAGTCCATCTTTAAAGGTCTATTCCTAGGCACTTCACTCCATGCATTTGAGGAAATAATTCATAGATTTAATTCATTTTTCCAAAATAAATTAGGTAATGAAGCCAGTAGTCAGAATGCAGTGTGTGTTCCTGTTCCTGCAGCTGTATTTTTCCAGAATCACTTGGCAGTGATGAGGGAAGGCAGACAAAATTTGCTCGCTCTGAGCATCCTAATTCTTAATTTCCTTCTAATTTTCTCTGGTCACCACCACCTAAGTGTTGTTATGCCAGCACACTTAGGATTTCAGCCTAAGACTGCAATTCATGGTTTGTGTAGTTGACCACATGATGCAAAACTGTACAAAACTAGCACATCAACAAGATTATAGTAGAGTCCTTTTTCCTAATATCTAGTTTTCTATATATATTGGAAGCTTACTTTATAGTTGAGCATTCAATCATGCAGTTCTCCAGATTGCAGTACATAGTAATATAGTTCAGGAATAATTGTCCATCTCATTTATTCTTTTTAAAAAAAGCCATCATCAGACTTTTTTTCAAGTTAGTTGCATTTCCTTGTAAATAATAGCTTCCTGTTATTCTGGAGCAGTATGATATAACCTCAGGATTTCAAGCTTTATTATTTTAGCCTTGGGAGAAAAGCTTAGTTTGCCACTTTCTGTTAACTTACTCTTTTTCCTTTCTAAATAGCATTTAATCTTCAAATACAGAATTATAACCATAATCTGTTTCTGCTGTGTGTAGTTTCCTTTTCATACATATGATACATTAAAAAAGAGATCTCCTGCATTTCTAATTCTTCACTCACATAGAACATAATCTATTACTTTGGCAAATCGTGAAGATAATATTTTAAATGTATTTTTAATTCTTTTCTTTTGTTGAGTTTCACCTAAAAGAAGAATAACAATTGCTTTAAATGACAAGTTGAAAGTATGTCAGTTTTCACATGCATTGAGAGGCATTTTCAATACTTGAAGCTTTTCAAGAAAACTTGAAGGTTTTTAAGCTAGCAATTCTTTATTGTCGACTCTTTTCTCTAATGATTTTAGAAATAATTTTACAAGATAGATATGAACAACCATAGCAGATATCATTGTGTGTGCAATTTCATTTTGTACTGTTGTCAATAGCCATTTTAATTTTATGAACTGAGGACCAACTTGTAATGTAATGTTCTAGTGTTGAAAAACATACTAGATGAACGTCTTGTGGCTTTGGAAACACTTTGAATTTTTATAATTTAGTGACACTTTTGTTGATATTAATTGTATCATTGCAAAACTAATAGGCAGATATTCCATCAAGCTGCTTTACCTAGAAAACTCCACAAATGAAACCTGTCCTTTTCACCTGCTCATCTCAAATTAAGGAGTAGCTCTTACTCTATTTCGTGCTCACATTTAACAATTGGAGCAATGAGCTGGTGCCCAAAGAATTCTGTTGAAAAGTGTGATACAAGTAAGTATCCAACATAAATAAAATTGATAAGGGCCTATGTGAGTATTGATCCTCTGCTTTCCATTTTCAGTACTGTTCCATTATCCAGGCAGGGGACTAAAGGGGGTGCTAGACAGAGAAGGATAGTCCATTTTACGGGGCGGGGAGGGGGATGGGAGGGGGGATTGAAAGAAGAAAACCATTTCCCCCGTTTTTGCTGGTTATTTCCTCGGCTGCTTAAATGTTTCGAAGTATACACTGAATAATTAAATTTTCTGTAACTCCCCCTTCGTAAAAATGCCTTATTTCTGAGTCACCTTTCAGGGCAGGGAGATTGCTTTCTCAAGTGCCTTCTCCTCTATAACATATACTTAATAGTCTCCTTTTCTGAAGACATGTTTCAAAAGCTTTTGTTCCCTGCTTCAGTCTGAGTTTTTTTTACAGGTCTAGTCAGTTGTAACTTTGGTCCCATTTCTCTCTTTAAATCTGTCTTGTTGCTTATCAGTTTCACTATGGTAAACAAAATTAGTGCAGAATAAGCATAGTGCCTCTTGAATTGGCAATGCCTTCATTTTAAATGTCTTTCATTTAACATTATGACATTATGAAATAATTTTTTATTAACAGTTACTAGTGGAATATATAATGGTAGGTGTTATTCAAAAATTCCCAGCCCATTGGGCATATATTTTTGAGCTAAAAATATATGCTGCTAATTGTTGATCAAACAAATTTTAAAGTTTTAAATAGGCATTCAGATAAAGTGTTTGTCTTAAATATCAATGTTTGCAATTTTAGTTCTTACATACTTTTCAATTTTCTTGTAGGCAATATCACTTACACCCGGGGTACAGAATGACCCTCATCGCTGGTTAGCAGAAACAAAGGTAAATATAAGAAAGGTAAAGGCTTTCCCCTGACATTAAGTCCAGTTGTGTCCGATTTGGGGTGTGGTGAATACAGTATTTCTTAAAAAATGAAAAAAACATACCTGTTAACAGTTACTTGCAAAAGCCTAATTCCTATTGGTAGTCTAATAGGAGCATAGATCAATTGAGGAATGGTGAGTTAACACTTCAGTAAATCCCATTAATTTAGTGTGTCTGCTCTGATTGGGATTACCAATAGGATTCAGGCTGAAAGCACCAGAGTACAAAAGCAATTGTTAGAAGTTACCAGACATCAATGCTACATTGTATTTGTACAATAATTTCTACTTGCCACAGTAAACTCCAATCAACCGATTATATAAATTCAGCCCAAAATTGTGGTTGCAAACTGTAATTCAGACCCAACAAAAGTTGGGAGACATTGGTGAAAACATAATGTTGCAATGTGGTCAGCTCTATAAACTAAGTACTGGGATTTTATAAGCATGTTGGGAGGAATAGATCTATCACAACATATTCCAGTTTGGAGACAGATCAGCACCTTACTCCCCTGGAAGTTTTGCTCCAGGCTCTTCCACTTTGCTTCCTGAGTTTTGAACTTTGGAATTCACATTCTCTTAAAAACATCTGATAACATTGTGCTTGTAAGGTTTGGTTTCTTTTTTCCTCCCCAGCATAACTGATGACTAGTAACTTTTCATCATTGATTTTTTTTTACTTTCTAGACAACTCTATCTTGTATCTTTTAACACGATTAAGTTTCTCATGATCTAAACAACTTCTTCTACTTCATGTGACAAGACTTATCCCCATAGTATATTGGGGTCACAGCAAGAGAAGAAAAGTTGACCAACTGACTTGGGGAAAATTGCATTTGTTTGCCAACAAGATTGCACTGGATTTATTGATGGGCTAGTTTTGTAATGTGCATGGTCTGAGAGTACATATCTCTATAAATAGTGGAGATAAGAGTTTGAATGGGAAGGCAAGGACTGTAGAGGAAACAGACTCACTATTCAGATTGGCGATGCTAAAATCCCAGGCAGCAAGTATCAAGAAGACCTTTCAGAGGGCATGTAGTAATTGATTCATAAATCTGTCACTTGAGTCCTTTTTAGTTAATAGTAGGTGAGTCTTGAAATGAAGGGGCCTTTAGAAATACTGTAGTTCTTTACATTTGCACCCCAAAAACAAACAGCCTTAATAATTGGTTTGCAAGAAATATGGCTTTAGCTGCCAGTTCTCTCATCGCCTGAGTTCTTTTCATTTACAGATGGAGACTTTAAAGGGCTCAGAGACTTTGCCTGAGATTTAGAGGGCTGTGTGGTGAGCTTTGCAGGCAAAGTGAAATTTTGGAGTTACCTGACCCTAAAGCGTCTCCCCACATCCATACAGCCCACTTCAGTTAAGGTTAAAAAGCTGTAAATAATTGGGCAATGTCAGGAAAGGACATGAATTTGCGGCTAAATGTGCGAAAACATTGAAATAGTCTTTAGCATTCTTCGTCATTCTTAGAATTCAAAGGCATAGTCGTGTTAATCTAGAATATCAGTGCGCATTTGGCTCTTGTAGTTCCTTTGTGATGCTAGAAGATCCTGTTGAGTATTTTGTTGTCTTTGCTCTTGTTTGCTACCAAATCATATTTAACTTAGATTAACTCTGTGAATTAGACATCTCCAAGAAACCCTGTTCAGATCTTGCAAACTCAAAGTTTTTGCTTCCTTTCTTGAGTCAGTCTGTCCTCCAGTCTAACTGCTTTGAAATTTGAACTATAATGTACTTAGTTTTGATATCTTATAGGGGTGGTTTTTTTCCCATCACACCAGGGATCCTAATAGGTATATCTGGTAGGAACATTGTGAAGTGCCTTGTCACTCAGTGACTGCTCCCAAACTTTGAACTTCCTTTCTAGAGATGTCAGACTGGCTCTCTCCTTGGTTTCCTTGCATACTTAGGGGGAAGGGTGTTTCATGATGTCTATTGTTTTTATTGTTTTCCTTTGTAAATGTCCTGCTTTTAACTATTCCCACTGCAAATTTAATTACATTTTTAATTATCTGAATTTTGTATCTGTTTTTATTGTAATTTATTTAAGTCACGTTGAGTTGGCCTGGAAAAAAGGCAAAATAATAACAATGATGCTTATGATAATTTGGTTTATAACCTGCCTTTCTCCAAAATAGGATGATAGAGGTGCTGATGATAATTGATAATAAGGTATGGGAATTTGGAAACTAAGTTCTTATTCTTTATTTGAGGTACATATGAATGCACACAGATTGAGGCAATGAAGACTTGTGGAAATTAAGTGGAACAATGATTTGCACCATCTGCACTTGTTCCTTTTCTCATCTATTTACATAGACTTTGTAGAAAAATACAAATGCACTGGATATGTTTTGAGGACAGCTGGAAAGCACAAAGGGAAGTCATGCAAGTCCTAGATATATGGGTATCTCTGTGTTAGACTGCTAATGGTATGCTAAATAGAAAACATAATTGTTTGAGATGGCAATGTACATTTCTTTCCTCATAAGTTATTAGATGTCTGGGTTTACACTCTTTCCTGATATAAGTAGTTTCTGTGTCACAGTCATCAAACAGTGTCATAGCTTTTTGTGGGCCAGGGATTTACATGTAATCTCCCATTTATATTAGAAAGTAATGCAGTCTCATCCTTTTATTGTGTAAATTGGCCCTGATGCTGGATTTTGAATTATGGAGTGAAGTCTCTCTCACTTGTGCTGAAAACCAAACAGCTATTTGATTTTTTTCAAGCTAGCATACTGTTTGTTTGTTTTCTTCTCACACCTTTCAACACCAGATTCCCACAGTGTATGAAATTGTTTTTTGAAAGTCCCCTCAGTTTCAAGAGCAGTTTGCCTTGTTTTGAAAATGGTCTGAGTATATAAAATAGTTTGAGGGTTTAAAAAAACCACCCTAGTGTATGTAACAGTACATTCCTAATGGTAAGTTCAAGTACATGGTGAGTTCAGTTCCTAACAGAATGCAAAATGATGCCATTGAGAGTCAAGGAAAAAAAACCCAACCTCAGCATGTCTGGAACACCAAAACTGGTTGAAATTTAAAAATCCCGAGGATGATATCTTTAAGTTTGAAGCCTTCCCTCCAGCTTAGACACTGCAATGCCCAGTGTAGATAGTGGTAAAGAATGCTGGGAGTTGCAGATCAGCAACTTCTGAAGGGTTTCATGGTTCCTCTCCCTGCCTGAAACAGCTGAATATGCTTGATGACCATAAAATGCTGCATATGTATGGGTGAGTATTATTAACTCAGTGTAATACTAGAGATGAGAGCTTGAGGGGTTATGTCCTCAAACAAAAAAAAATCCGCTTGTATACAGTGTTGACATAACACACAACTTTTTTACCCCTCAGGGCTTAAATCTGAATTTTAAGGATCAACCTTCTACCCCACACTTTTCTGAGAAAGCTGGGTTATTTTATGTGTCCCCACAGTCTGAGTCAACTTCAGACGTGAAGGGTGGGGTAAATGGAAGATCTTTGCTCCTTCCTGCCATGAAATGCCACTCGTTTTTATTTTGTCGGTATGCAATTCTTTTTATTTATTTTTGAAGACGTGTGATAATGCAAATAGGAAGGAACTGGGATTTGTGTTTCTGATTAAGATCTTAACTCAAGCAAAAGGGTCGGGTTTCCCGCCATCCCCAACACATCATGTCTTCTCTCCTCTGCCTTACATAGAAAAAAACATTCTCCATATATCCCTGTGTTGTGTCTAGTCTGACGGGGGTAGAACACAGAGAACTGATAATGCTAGGTTTAACCAGAATCAAGCCAGCAAAAGCGAGGCCTCAGTAAATTATCCTAACTTTACTAAGTTTATGCTCATTACCCTAATAAAATGAACACCTCCTTATAAAAGGTTACCGTGCTAAAGAAATAGAAATAAAGATGCATTATGGGATGCACCTGTGTGGCTTGCCAAATACACAGGTGCCAAGAAATGTGATCTACTAATTTGTGATATAACTGTGATGTATTACTGTACATTTTGTGATTTCTGTACAGAAGTATACATTTTTATTTTGATCAGGGTGTCTCTTTGTCTTATGATTCTGAGACTCCAGGCATTTTTTTGCTGCAGTTAAAAAATATTTTTGCGGTCTCCAGCTTGGTGATCTTATATGGCTGGAGTGGACCAAGGACCAGACCATGCACTTAGGGATAATAAATTGACGACTTATATGGGACCAGGGGCTTTCCTCCCACAGCTTTGCTTCAGACTGACCACCTGTAGCAAATGCAGGAACTCAGTGTACACAATTCAGTGTGCATCTGGTCTCTTTGTGAGAGAGTTGGTGAGGTAGCTGTTATATATTAGGGTATGTTTTGTGGTTTCCATATAGAAATATAGAAATGATTTGCCTTTTGTCTTGATCGGGGTCTCTGTTTGTTTTATGGTCTTGAAACCCTAGAAACATTTTTACCACAATTAAAATAATCCTTTGTGATCTTCCACGGTGATCTTATCACTTGAAGCATGTGAGGACTAGATGTCGCATTTAGGGATAACATGTGATTGTGTGGATACAGTCATGATTTTTGAAGTTGCGTTTGTGAGGATAATTGCATATCAGGATTAGCACACCAACGTCTATTCGTATATCAAACATGATTGTCACAGGTCTGCCCTTTCACTGAAATGAGCTTACAGATTGGAAAAAAGTGATGCCACTCTCACTTGGTTTCAATAAGGATGTGTGTGGCATTAACATAGTCACTACAAACCAGGAATAATTCCACTGTAAGTACACAGATAATAAATACATACATACACAAAACCTGAGAGTTGCCTCAGGTAAATGGAGAGAGTTTGATGACCCATCAGTGAAATAATGAGACCACCCCAGAACATTGGGTAAACTGGGACAACTTTACTGAGCTAGTTATTGTAACTTTGAACCAGAAATATCTTTAACCAAAAAGCGTACTGTAGAAAAAGTGGCAACAGCA